GGACCTTCGTCCTGCTGTTCAGATAAGAGTCTGCCAGACACAACCCGCCTTGGCTCGCAGCATGGTCCTGAAGCCGCCTGAGAAGCTGGTTTTTGGTCCTGCGAGTCCTGCTCGAGTCCTGCAGAATTGGGGATGCTTTGTCCGGCTTTGCTGCCAGCAAACCCTGATGCATCCGGTAACCTCCCTTCACGGCACGCTGGCGCGCCACTCCACATGCGGCCACCGCAATGCAGAGGCGAGCGTTGCAAATCCAGTTTTGACGCAAAACTCCTGGTTTAGGTTCCATCAAGCTGGAGGTTCCAGCGCCTTCTGCAAGAATGCACGGCGCCTCTTTGGGCAGCCAAGCATGAAGAAGCCCAGGCATCCTCGATGCAGCTTGCATGGAAGGCGGCATCTCCATAACTAGAAAACCTACTATGATCCACTGATGCAACATATGGATGCTTGCGGTTGAAAGTCTCCACCCACTAGAACTAGGAGAACCAACCTTTCGAAGCCATACTTACGGACCGACCAGGCAAATGCGCCTAAAAATGCAAGACCTGAGCTGCAAGAGAAAGCAGTAGGGTACAAGCCTTGATGGCTTGCAGTTCTTGTGCCGGGAATATAATGAAGAGCTGTCAGAAGTGCAATTTCCAGTTGGCCTTCTTATGCAACATAGACTTATGCGGGCCAACCTGCGGTTCCTAATCCATGCGTGTCAGAAGACCTGCGCACCCTATATCTGGCAATGCTTATAAGCCCTTTATGATCCTCAGCCTCGCCTCTTCCGCCACTTCCTTCTCTGGGAGCTCCTGAATCTCCTCCACCGCTGCGGCCACGGGGGGCTCTTCGGCCACCTGCGCGAAGTTCCGTGCTTCCCAGGGCATACGCAACGTCTTGTCATGTAAGGGTTATGCTGCAATGAACTCTAGAGTCTAGATGTAAGTTCAAGCCTTTAAGCCCTAAGCTTCCTACTCCTTAACTTCACCTATACTGAAAACCTACATGTTAACACCTCCTTGTAGCCGGCACATCATCCCTTTATACATCATAGGAAGTTCATCCATAGTCTCCTCTTCAATTGCACATGACATGTGTACGGGTACCAATATTCCTAAAGAACCCTATGTAGTAGCTTCCCAAAATAGGGGGACNNGGGACCCCGATATAGACTCCAAAACTTGGAAGTTGCAAGTATGGGCCCATGATATGGGGTTTACGGTTTTAGGGTGTGGGCCCTTAGCAATTTTAGGTGGATCCTAGAGAGTCCTTCATGAAAATTCTGGTATGTACTAGGCAAATCAGGGCCCAAAATGATCCTAGATGCCAACACCTGAGGGTTCGATCCACCACAACACATAAACTCCTGGATGTTTTCAAAAGTCGGATGAATCTGCCATGAAAAACTACACAGCTCCTTGTTACACTGACCTTCCTCTCCACCCAACCACCACCTGAGGCCTAAACCCTACACCC